GCCCAAGCGCCCAGTACGTGTTCCCGGTTGCTCATACATGCCTTGCCCAGGTCGCGGAGGGTGTGAATGAGAGTCGCTGAGAAAACCTGGCAAAAGGAGTCATCCCCTCGGCAAGCCCACAGCCACGCTCACTTGACAAAAGCTTCGTAAACAGACAAATGAGACCATGCCTCTGTTTTGGAACTGCGGTGGGAGAAGCAGTCCCCAAAGCGTCCACATCCTAAGCCCAGGGACCCACGAATATGTTGTGTTTCCAGGCTGAAGGCACCTTTCGGATATAATTAAGTTCGCACACTTGAAAATAGAGAAAATGGCTTGGCGTATCCAGGTGGGCCCCATCTACTCCCATGAGCCCTTGACGGCAGAGAACTTTCTCTGGCAGGAAGCAGAGGAACAAGGCAGCAGATGGAGAAACAGAGGCTTAAGAAGGAGAAGGGTCTGCCATGCCTTTCTTGACTCTGAGATGCGGGGACAGAGAGCAAGGGCTGGAGAGAGGCTGTCAGTCAGGGGGGAACAAGACCGGGGAATGGGGTCTGCTAACCACACGGAAGAGCTCAGAAGCGGATTTCCCTCTCGCACAGGAGCCCAGCTGGCCACCTCTGATTCCTGCCCATGAGACCCCAAGCGGGGAAGCCAGAGAAACCCCCTGGCCCTCTGCCTCGCGGATCCGTGAGATGACCAGCAGCGTAAGGCCCATCCCTGCCTGCGCAGACCTCCCCGAGCCCCAGTGCGTCGGTCAGGTCCTGCTGTACAGTCTGTCCTCCACGGCCCGGCCGCCCTCCTCCAGCTGACGGCCTCCAGGCTTGCCTGGTACGTGGCAGGCCTGCCCCTCTCCCTGGTCTCCTTCACCCAGAGTGCTCTCGCCCACCGACACTGCTCCCCTCACCTCCTCGGGGACTTTGTTCAACTGGTACTTCTCAGCGAGACCCACAGTGACCCACTCCCCGGGACCCCTGCTTTGTCGCTGTCTGAAATCTAGCACATGTGTATTTCCGTATGTATTTTATTTATCGTCTGGCTTTTCTCTTAGACCAACTGCGGTCAGGAGGGCTTAGTGTCTGCCCCACCCCCATCCCCAGGGGACAGACAGCGACGTCTGGAGACAATTTGGTGGCCAGGAACAACCAGGACACTACTGTGCTCGTGGCCTCAGGCAGGTAGAGGCGAGGGGTGCTGGTGGACACCCCACAATGCGCAGGACAGCCCCCCCACGGCAAAGAAAGGTCCCGCCCAAAATCTCAACAGGGCTGGGGTTGAGAGGCTCTGTCTTCAACTATAAAGTCCATGTGGACCATCTGCTTTTCGCCACCACGTCCCAGTGCCTGCTGGCACGTAGTAGGAGCTCCACGGAGATGCTGACTGAGGGGAACGTAGCAGATCGTTCTTTAGGACTCAGAAGTGTTTGTCCATCCACAACTGGCTGGTCCCTGGTCACCCACCGTGATCTCTTCCTTTCCCAAAGTCAGAAAGCCAGGAACCATGTTCCACTTTCTTCTTGCCGCTTCCCCTGCCCGGCCCCCAAGGGCCCCTCCTCACTGCACATGGGTCCCCCACTCCCTGGTCTCCACCCTCCTCTGCTCATCTCTGTCCTCCCAACCGGGAATCTGTGGGAGACGGTGGGGTCCCATGGTCCTGACTGCAGGAACGGGGCAAAGAAACTGAGGCAGGCCCTTCCTCTCCCTTCCAGAAAGAACCTCTTCTTTCCCTTCCTTTCCAGCTCTTGCGAGCATTCAGGCATTCACAACTGGGAGGAATCAAATATAAATCCAACTCACAGTGGGAGCCCAGGGCTCACATTCTGTTCCCTGGGCTCCAGGATGACCAGGGTCAGGGCAGCCTGATTTACTCGAGCCGCTTTAACAAAGGAAGTGAATGGAAGAGCCACGGAGTCCCCATAAACAGAGCTAGAATTGCCAGCAGCCTGCTGAGCTGAAAACCACAGGAATAAAGAGAAGAGATTCAAGCCATGGCTCTCAAATAAGTCTTTCTTCCCAAACCTAATGTTCTGGAAAAAATCTTCCTAATTAGTCATTAATTGGTACATTATCAGCACCGTGTGCCAGGGATTAAGTGGGTAATAGCCATTTCTAGAGAGCGAGGTAATGCGTCTCTCAGCTGGGCAGAGCCCCCCTTTGCTTATGTACCCCAGCAGCCCCCACTGCCCCCCCAGCGCTGCAGACGCGATGCGGAGCCCCTCCCTCGATATAACCTCCTGAGGCTCCCATTCGCCCCCACAGCTCGGAGAAGCATTTTTGCCATTCAGGATGATACTCCTTTCCCACTCGTTGGCTGTGCACTTTTTGAGAATGGATTTTTCCTCTTATTTTTTTTTAAGTTTTGTTTATTTCTTTGAGAGAGACAGAGACAGCGCGAGTGGGAGAGAGAATATCTCAAGCAGGCTCTGCACTGTCAAGGCAGAGAGCCCAGCGAAGGGCTCGAACTCACAAAACTGTGAGATCATGACCTGAGCATACATCACAAGTTGGACGCTCAACCACCTGAGCCACCCAGGGGCCCCTGGATTTTTCCGCTTAAAAAACATTTTACTGTGGATGTCTCATTCTCCTGCTCAGGGACCTTGTGCTTCCAAACCCCTTGGTCACTCAGGGAGAACACAGCAGGTAATTTTAGCATCACTAATTGGCTCTGCTAAAGAAACTTATTTTAAACAGCTGTGATTCAGCTCTTAATCATAGCATTTTATTATAGTGTCATTTCAAAAAAAAAAAAAAAAGGAACACTAGACTTTCTTCTCCACTAAAAAAATAATTAACTAATTAAGCATCTTCAGTTTTGACCATATTCGCTATTGGTCAAAACTTTCTGTATTTCTATATTACCCAAATATCTTATGGCCAAAGGAACTGTGGTACATGGAGACAGAGAGAGAGAGAGAGAGAGAGAGAGAGAGAAAGAGAGACAGTGGGGGAGAAACAGGAAAAAAGCAAGGGAGGGAGTAAGACAGAGAGGAACATCTTGGGAATTAGAAATCCTGGGTGTGTTGGGGGCACCTGGGTGGCTCAGTCGGTGGGTAAACATCCGACTTTGTCTCAGGTCATGATCTTGCAGTTCATGAGTTCAAGCCCCACGTCAGGCTCTGTGCTGACAGCTCAGCTCCAGCAGCCTGGAGCCTGCTTCTGATTCCATGTCTTCCTCTCTCTCTGGCCCTCCCAGCTCTCACTCTGTCTTTCTTTCTCTCAAAAATAAATAAACATTTTAAAAAATATTTTTTTTTAAATCCTGGGTCTGAGGGATGCCTGGGTGGCCCAGTTGGTTGAGCATCCGACTCTTGGTTTAGGCTCAGGCCATGATCTCACAGTTAGTGGGATCGAGTCCTATGTCAGGCTCTGCATTGACAGCACAGGGCCTACTTGGAAGCCCCATTCTCTCTCTCTCTCTCTCTCTCTCTCTCTCTCTGCCTCTCCCCTGCTTATGCATGCTCTCTCACTCTCTCTCTCAGAGTAAATAAATTTAAAAACAATAAAAATATGTTTAAAAAAGGAAATCGTGGGGCACCTGGGTGGCTTAGTCGGTTAAGTGTCCGACTTTCACTTAGGTCATGATCTCACGGATCGTGGGTTCGAGTCCCGCATCGGGCTCTGTGCTGACTGCCAGTTCAGAGCCTGGAGCCTGTTTCAGTCTGTGACTCCCTCTCTCTCTGACCCTCCCCTGCTCACACTGTCTCTCTCTCTCCTAAAAATAAATAAAACATTAAAAATAAATAAATAAATAAATAAATAAATAAATAAATAAATAAATAAGGAAATCGTGAGTTTGAGTCGCAGTTCATCCTGTCCTGGGGGCATGGAGGGGGTGATTTCTCAGAAGGAGAGCTGAAGGGGGCTGAGCTGCGGCAGGGGCTATGAGCAGGGTGCCCGGATCACCAGGGAAAGGCAACACCTGGCACGGAGGGGCTCAGATGGCAGGCTTGGGCCATGTCCAGCTGGACAGAAGGGGAAGAGGGTGGCGGAGAGGGCTGTGGGTGGGGAGAGTGTCAGGACTCAGGGAGAGCTCAAGGCCTCTTTGAGTTGAAAATGAAATCCCTCCACCTCCTTTCTCTTCTTCTCCCAGGCCTTTCAGAAAGAGACTGAAGAGTGGGGACAGACGCCCCACCTTGGCCCCATGCTTCTCTGTCCCAGCTGGGCGGCCTGCTGGGAGGAGGAGAGCAGGACACCAGCCCGCCAGGAATGCGATGGAGGCTCAGGCGCATCTGGACCAGCCCCAGGGTCAACAAGCGACCCAGTTCACTATGTGCTCGACCCTGCTAGGAAGGGGGTGTCGTGGGACCTTCCCAGACACTGTCCCTCCCCCGTTTGTTGGTGTCCTGCTCCTCTAACTTGAATCACTCAGAAGACCTCCCGCATCTCCTGGGGCCAGGTCTGTGGCCAGGTCTGTGGCCACTGTCTTGCTTTTTTCCTTTTCATGGCAGGGTCTGGACATCAGCACACCCCTGGCGGCATCTCTGGGGCATTCTCGGGCACCGTGAATGTCAACCGTGTTCTCTGGAGTGACCCAGAAGATTTTCCTTTCCGACTGCAGCAAAAGGCCGAGCAGGCTGTGGGAACACACGTACAACAAAGGACATCAGTCTAGAAGAGGTGTTAAAGTCCGGAGGTGAAGGATTTCCATAGTCCATCAGGTAGGATAAGGTCGGTGTCAGAGACGCCAAATAACAGAGGTTTAAAGCGGGACCTTCCTTCACTTGTAAAGCCTGGCAGTGACCCAGGTCCACTCCACCAGGCCCTAAGGCCCACGTCCTTCCGTCCATGCACTTGGCCACCCCTAGGGCTGAGTTCTCTCACGGTCCTCAATGGCGCCACTTCCGCATCCCAGTCAGCCGGAAGGGTCCTGGCTCTGTCTGCTGTCTCATTGGCCAGAACCAGTCACGTGTCTTCACTTCGCCACAAAGTAGGCCGGGAAATGTAGTCTTTCTTCTAGGCATCACGTACGCAGCTAAAATTCTATTCTTCGTCAGAAAGATATTTCAGGGAAACAGCAAACTCTGCCTCACACATTATGCTGTGGGCGAGGGGTCGTGTTCCTGGAAAACAAAAATCCCTCCACTTAAAGTCTGTGTGGGCACCTCCCCGCATACATCAAGGCAGCACAATAAGAAGGGGAGAATGGCGTGAGAGCAGGTCCCGGTGAGGGTAAGAGCTGGCGGCATATCCAGGCAACGCGCCCTTCCCAGTGGCCGGTGCTCTTCCCCAAGTGCTGGTGAGTCTGAGATGCAGATGCTTTCTGCAGGGACCCCCTGGACGCCGACAGTGGGCTCAGGCAAGGGGGTCTCTTTTCTACAGCTGCCACAACACTAGCCCTGTGGGCCAACGTCACCAGTGCCTCACCCCAGCCGACGCCCTTGCAGACCCCTCTCCCATCAGCACTGGTGCCCGGATACCTCTCTGTGCTGGGGCTGTCCTGTGCCCTGAGGGATGCGTCACAGCATCCCAGTTGTGGTAAGCAAAAAATGTACCCAGAGATTGCCAATATCCCCTGCGAGCAAAACCACACCCTCCCTTCCCCCATGAGACCACTGCCCTGAGCCCAGTACGCAGTACTTCCGCACCCCCGGCTGAAGCACCCACGTTTATAAGGCCCAGGAAGGGACACAAGGATTGGACCTCCTCCACCTGCAAGGAGAGCAGATGCCTTTTGAAGAAGGGGTACCTGATTTCAAATGAAGAGATCGGACAGTGGGGAGAGAGAGAGAGGCAGAATGAGACAAGGAAATGCCACTGGAGATGTGCTCGCTCAAAAGCCAAAGGCTGGAGGTGGCCCAGGGTTCTTCGGGGAAATTGAAATAGCGCTTAGGGTAAGAAATCACTTTGTCTATAGGTACAGGAGCCATTAGGGATCATCCTACGGGAAGAACATCTGGCTGAGGCGGAAGTTAAGCCGAAGCAGGTAGAGCTGGCAGGTGGAAGAGAGAGAGATCTAGTGACATTATCTGAGACCCTGGATCCCGCTGAGCCTGAAGCCCCACTCTTCTCTTCTCTTCTCTTTTTTCTTTTCTTTTCTTTCTAATTCTTCTCCGTATACCAGTCTGAACTTGCTTTCTGTCACTATATCAGGAATCCTGATCTAGGCAGTATTACTGTCTAGATCTAGATAGTATTAGTCAGCTCTGTGAAACCTCAGCATCTCCAGACCTAATTGGTCTTAATGCTATTTAATTTCTGTTAATTGAGTGAGATGCTCTCTGATCCAGGATTTGCACTTATTTCCTCGGCATGAAAGTGAAGAACATACCAAATACAGACCTTATTTCTAAATGGAATCTGGAGGTATATTTGGCATCTGGAAAAAAAAGAGCCTCATGATTTGAGCGCGGAGGACGGGCTTGGGAGCATCTTATTGCATACATAAGCGGCCTGCGCTTGCTCAGAACCCCCAGCACAGGCTTGGTCCACACCACTGGTCAAGCTCAGGATGTATTACTCACTTAATGTTCTTTGCTTCCAAGAGAGCAACTAGAGTGTAAGGTTTACAAAGCTCTCAGTGGCTTTTGTGTTTTTCACCTCCTTTGCTAGACTTGACTCAAGGCCTGGACTAGAGCACACGCCCAAGAGGTGGTGTTTATGGTTGAAAGAACATGGGCAACAGGAATCAGATACGTGAGAATGTTCTTTGATCTTAACAACCTAGTATTCATTGTAGTTATTCCTCGAAAACCTTCCAAATGGAAAACATTGTCCTTAGTTTCACATGGAATTATTTTTAAGCTGCAGGATAGTATTATATTTATTATGAAAATTTGCTGAATAAGGAACAATTCAAGTTACAGCAAAGAAAACCCAGAAAGTACAATCAAAAGCCTAGAGACAACTGAAAAGCAACTTTTAATTTGTAGTCTAAATAATAGCAGCAGTTTTTAATTAGCCAGTTGTGTCCCAGAGTGCAGTGGAATTCAGAAGATTTTTATTATGCTTAGGATCTCAGAAACATTCCTTTTTACCTTATTTTTTTCTTTTTCTTTTTCTTTAAACACACAAGTACAGGGGCGCCTGGGTGGCTCAGTCTCTTAAGCGTCCAACTATGGTTCAGGTCATGATCTCACGGTTCATGAGTTTGAGCCCCGTGTTGGACTCTGTGCTGACAGCTCGGAGCTTGGAGCCTGCTTCGGATTCTGTGTCTCCATCTCTCTCCGCACCCACCACCTCTGCTCATGCTCGTGCTCTGTCTCTCTCTCTCAAAAATAAATAAATATTTTTAAAAAACATGAAACACACAAGTACAATCTCAGAGCTATCCCACCAGTGTTTAGATTTTGTTTATATTAGAGATGTTTTGTTGAGAGAAAACTATCATTTCTGGTCTGGGTGACAGCAAGAATGAGTCAACCAAAATAAAGCCTTGGTTAATGAAAAACTTCATTAGGAGGGAAAAAAAAAATCTTTGAAGTAGAGCAAGTTTCCTTATGTTTACCATAAAAGCAAACTAGATCGATCTTGAAGGTAATAGATATACAGACTGTTCGTTGTATATATTGGCACTGGTTTAAAAAAAAAGTTTTGTAAATATTTCCTATTAAACCTTAATTGCTACTTTTATCATTTGCTCAAATTACATACAAAGGGACGGGGGCACATTTATCACGGAAGTAGTCATTTTCTTAACGCTCAGGGATGGTGACTTATTACACAATGTACCCTTCCCAGTTTATGGGACATTGCTGCTAAGTGTTATCTGCACACGGCCATAAAGGGCCCTTTAAAGACTATTCAGAAACACCAACTTGTTAAATAGCTATATTTTGTAAGTTTGTGTGCCTATATTTTTCAATTTTCTGGATCATGTTTGTTTAAGAAAAACCCAACCAAGTATCTTTGAGTCCAAATGTTGGATTTCAACTCTAAGTGTGGGGCAAAATGGGAAACTTTCATCAGTATTGAAACTTAGACCCAAAGGCCACTTGCAGAAATTCTAGTGAACCCTAAGAATCCCAGATGTTAGACTTAGACACATGGATTTCCATAAAGTGAGTCAGGGGCTGAGTCAGGTCCAGCATCTCTTGCTGAATCCGGTTAGATTCTATCAGGATGGTCATTTCCATCTTCTTTTTTATCGAGAGGACATGGCGGCTCTGGGAGCTTTGCCTGGGAATGGAGACAGGTGGCCGACCTTCAGCTTTTGAACAATCCTGGCTGGCAATATTGACAATCGCCTCAGGGCCATGAGGCAATGCAGATTCCCATCCAGGTTGGGGGAGGGGCTGACAAGCCCCAATTCCAACAAGCTCCCCACGATGCTGACATGTCAGTGTCTTTAACATGCTTGGAGGAAGAAATCCCGTCTGGCCATTCGATAAGGAGCTGTCACGGCCATCCCATCCGCAGACTTCCCGTTGGAGAGAGAGCTTCAGGATGCCTAGAAAATTCTATGGCCAAACTTCGTTTGTAGACACCAATTCAGGGACACCTGCCATTTTCATCTGCCAAGCGAGGCTATAGAGCCTTCATTTAGAAGGTCTGCAGGCTCAGCATACCGATCACAGCACAAAGAAATCCAGGTGACACTGCAAAATGACATGTGGCCAATCCCCACATGAATATTTGGTCTGGAAAAGACACTAGAGGGATGACCTCACTTTTCATCATTTAAAGAAATATATTATTAACAGCCTCTGCTTCCCATGAACATTTCCACGGACTCCCAGAGCAATAAATACTCAGCAGAGCTCGGAGAGTGGCAGAAAAGAGGCCAGGCCACGTACACACTCCGCCACCCTGCGAGGCCACCTGAGGCCTCCCCCCACCCCCACTGAAATTCTTCAGTTTCCAGAGGAAGGTTGGAAATGCTCAGGTTTAGTACAATACCCCATTTTCCCCCTTCCTTTTATCACTCAGGCAAGTGCCCGTGACAAAATTAACCATGTTAAAGTGAACGGTTCAGTGGGATGCAATGTTTTCACAATGTTGTGCTTGTATCTGTGGAGATCTAAAACACCCCACCCTTGAAGACGCACACCCACATAGCAGCCACTCTCCCTAACCCATGGCCATCCTCCACTTGCATCCACTTAGTCTAGATATTTCAAAGAAATGAATCACACGCTAGGTGATCTTTCATATTGTCTCCTCAAAAAAAGAGAACTACAGGCCAATATCCTTGATGAACACAGATGCAAAAATCCTCAAGAAGATCCTTGCAAATCGAATCCAACAGCACATAAAAGGAATTATCCACCAAGACCAAGTGGGATTCACTCCTGGTTTACAGGGCTGGTTCAATATTCGCAAATCAATCAGTGTGACACATCACATCAACAAAAGAAAAGATAAAAACCATATGATCCTGTTGATAGACACAGAAAAAGCATTTGACAAAATACAGCATCCCTTCTTAATAAAGACCCTCGAGAAAGTAGGGATAGAAGGAACCTACTTAAACATCATAAAAGCCATCTATGAGAAGCCTTCAGCTAACTTCGTCCTCAACGGGGAAAAACTGAGAGCTTTCCCCCTGAGATCAGGAACACGACAGGGATGTCCACTCTCACCACTGCTGTTTAACATAGTGCTGGAAGTCCTAGCATCAGCCATCAGACAACAAAAGGAAATCAAAGGCATCAGAATTGGCAAAGAGGAAGTCAAACTTTCACTCTTCGCAGATGACATGATACTCTACATAGAAAACCCAACAGACTCCACCAGAAGCCGACTAGAACTGATCCATCAATTCAGCAACATTGCAGGATACAAAATCAATGTACAGAAATTGGTTGCATTTTTCATATTGTCTCCTCCAGCTTGGCCTAAGGCGCTCAAGGCTCATCCACACAATAGCATGTCTTAGAACTTCGTTGCTTTTTATGGTGAGTAATACCCTACCTATATTTTGTGGTAGACCACATTTTGTTTCCTCTCCTGTCCATAGATGGGCTTTGGGGTTGTTTCCACCTTCTGGGGACTGAATTATGCCACTACAAACCTGCACGTGTATGGATCTGAGTCCCTGTTTCCAATTCTTTGGGGGCATATACCTCCGTACACCAGAAGACGCAGGCCACAAGAGGCTGGGTGACTGGCCAGGGACTCAACACCGGGAGCCTGAGGGTCTATCCCAGCTCTAGGGAAACTCATCAGTCCATCGTCCCCCGATGAGTAACCCCCATGCTGGTTCACTGGCTGGGAGAAGCTGCCTTGTTTCTCTTACTTTCCAAATCTTTCCACCTCCAAACCTCAGCTCTCCACCACCTTCCCATTGGTTTGCGATCCTCTCAAGGACTGAAGGCAGCCTCCATATGCAGAGGGCAGGGAGAGACCCAAGAAAGAGGTGACACTGCAGGTTGGTAGGTGGCCGTGTGCATAAGCCAAGGGAAGGTACGTATGAGGCTCATCTTGGACGGCAGCAAGATGAATGAATCCCAGCACCGGCCCAAACACCAAATCTTGAAAGTTTATAAAGAGGCCATTCCTGGGTTCGCGCCCGTGAACACAGGTGTTCTTAACACCTCACCATCTCAAGGCCATGTCCTTGGAGCAGCCTCTGGGAGCGGGAAAGGTGAGTGGAGTCCATATTCCAAGGATAAGGAGGCGTGAGGAGCCTCTGAGTGCCTGGGTCCAGCTCACAGGTCGGTTGGAGGACATGTCTTTTTGATGACCTTCCCCAACACTTCTCCATGAGCCTTCCCTACTAAGCCACAGTCCCTCTGGCCCTCCTTCCTCTATGGTCCATAGATTTATAATAATCTCAGCCGAATACCGTATGGTGCACCATGTTATCCCACACAGTTGCTTGCCAACCTGCACTGACTGTAAGGTCTTGGAGGACAGGAGCTCATCAAGCCTTCATGAAGGAAGCCTGTGCAGCCAGCCTGGTGACAGCCCATCTGGGAGTGTCCACTCAGGGTAACGTCATGGCTGCTGCAGGTGGATATGGTGGTGACCTTGTACCTTGTTAGCTGCAACACTGAGGGGTAGCCACTCTGAGTTCTGGAACTCTCTATACAGTACATTATATTGCCTGCTGGCGATGACCATGCAGTAAAGTCACCACATATATGCAGAGACATGCAAGCCTTGTCAGCCCCACGCTGCCTGCTTTTGTCCATTAACCTAGTGTGACCAGGAGGGGAATGGACAGCCCCCTTCCCACCAGTGAATGCAAAGTGGCTGGCGGACCCCCATGAGCTCATCTGCTGACAGACCTGGACCTCAGTCTTGCCAGTCTCGGTGCTTGATCTTTTATAGGAATTGTTAAGAAAGTGCTCTAGGGACTCTGAGAAAACGCCAGCCAAAAAAAAAAGCACTCACAAAAAAAGTTTTTTAAATCCACACCATAGAGTTCCATTCCCCAACTGGGTCCTCACCACCTCTGTTTAAAGCTGAGTAAACCGGGGCGCCTGAGGGGCTTAGTTGGTTAAGTGTCTGACTTCAACTCAGGTCAGGATCTCACAGCTCGTGGGTTTGAGCCCCATGTCAGGCTCTGTGCTGACAGCTCAGAGCCTGGAGCCTGTTTCAGATTCTGTCTCCATCTCTTTCTGCCCCTTCCCTGCTCTCTCTCTCTCTCTCAGATATAAATAAATCTTCTAACATTTTTATTTAAAAAAGGGTGAGCAAGTCAAGGCTCGGAGCAACTTCCCATGTCAGTGATGATGGGAACAGGCGAGAAGCCTGACACGTGCTCCGTC